TCCTTCCTTCCTTCCTTCCTTCCTTCCTTCCTGTCTTTTTGAGACAGAGTTTCAATATGCATCTCAGGCTGGCCTTGAACTTACTTTGTAGTAAGGCTGGCCTCATGGTGATCCTCCTGCCTCAGCCTCCTGAGTGCTGAGATCACAGGCATGTGCCACCACACCTGGCACTCTCTTTGGCTTGTTTTAGGGTGTCCTCAACTGACAGCCTGGGGTGTGTGTGAACAATCCCCTAAACTGATAGGTCCTCTTTACTGTCCCTCCCTCCCTTAGGTGCAGTGCCAGACTCTACACTGGCCCGGTGTGATGGCACACGCCTGTGATCCCAGCACTCAGGAGGCTGAGGCAGGAAGATTATCATGAGTTCGAGGCCAGCCTAGGCTATATCAGCAAGTTCAAAGCTGGCCTGCACGACATAGTGAGACTCTGCCTCAAAAAACCCAAAAACTTAAAAAAAAAAAAAAGCAATTGTCAGAGAGCCCACTCTGGGCCCTGGCAGGGTGTCTAACCTGGCATTTTCCGGTGAATCTGCTGAAACATTCTCCGATACCAGTCCCTGGGGCAGTCGACACTCTGCAATCAGAAATGCAAGGTCAGGCTTCCCTGCTCACCCACCCCCCAGCATGGAGCCCTGGGGAGGCTGGCCTTGGTGAGTGTCTTCTGCCTTCCCTGAAGCCGTGTGGATGGGCTGGGCAGCACCTCTCCTGACGCCTCTCTATGACAATAAACATGCACCAAGATGCAGCATGTCACGCGTGAGTTAGACACCCGGAGGACTCCATCAGTGCACGTGGCAGTGGGCCCTCCACTGTGAGATCCGGGTGATTAACACTTTTTCTCTTTGCTTGTCTACAATTTCTAGTATTCCACAAAGAATACATGTTTCTTTGTAACGAAGCAGGGAGATGGTATTTCCCATCATCCACCTCTACCGAGCCTGGGGAGGCAAGGAGGGTTTGTCACCAGTGCCAGGTCCCAGGGAGGCTCTGTGGCTGCCTCCAGACAGGAAGGCGGTACGGAAGGACAGGGACTGGCAATGCTGGGGACCAGGACCCTTCTACACATTCTTACCTGGGCTCATTCCCTCATTCTGTCATTCAGCCACTCAGTAGCTACTCTGTAAGTCCCTGACTGCGCCAGGCCCTACAAAACTAAGAAGAGTAGGATCTCCGCCACGATCTGTTCTTATGACGGTGGCTTGTTCCACTTTAGAGACCCTGGTGGGAATTCTGGACCTGCATCTCGACACACACATGTACCCGTAACTTTATGAGGTTCACGACCTCCCGAAATTCATCATGGTTGAACCCCTGCTTAGTTTGGAATGATCAGGGGACAGACTTCATTGCCCCACCCAAAATTTAGCTAATAGAAGTGACAGCTCAGTGTAGCTCCCAGATCCCACCTGCCCGTGACACCCGCAACCTTGGACTCACAGATCGGGGGGCGATGGGCATGCCACTCTCATCCACAGGCCCGATCCCCTCGTACTTGACCCAGCGCTTGTCCCGATGCCTGCTGTCCTTGGTCCACGTGGCTGACCAGTTCTGGGCATGCTGGGAGGTGGGGGTCTTTGGGCTTGAAGAGGGCTGGCTCCCAGGGCCCGGCCAGGTCTGGTACCAGGCAGGGTCTGCGGGATATGTGCAGGACAGCATTAGCCGAAGGTACGGTACCCACCTGACCTTGTTTGTCCCGGAGCTCCTCGGAACATTGATCCCTGTGGGTCCAAAGTTTCAACATGCCCTTGTTTGTTTGAGCAGATGACGCAGACTCCACAAAGTTTCTCATCCCCAGCAACACCACAGGCTTCTGTTTGTTTATTTCTTGAAGTGAATTAAAGCAGATTTTGTTCTGAGAAATCTGTGCTGTCCCCACCCTATCCTCCTTCCCTGGGACTCTCCTACAAATGTGCAGAATGAGACCTGGGAATCATCACTTACAGACAATGCAGGGAACATCCGGCTGGGGTGTGGCAGAAAAGATATCAGGCTTGGAAAGAACAGACCTGAATTCAGAGCCTGGCTCTGCCACCTACTGGCTGTGTGACTTTGGGCACATCAGTCACCCTCTTGGTGCCTTGGTTTTGACTTCTATGAAACAAGTGTAATCACAGCAAAGATTGGGGGGCCGTCGAGTGTGTGTCACTGTGCCTGGCACACACAAAGTGAAGACCAAAACGCGTTCCTCAGTCATGGCTGTGTGTGGCCAGCTTCCCTAGGCTCTTTGGCCTCTAAGTAGCTAGTGTTGCTGTAAAAGGGCCGTGTGAACAAAAGGACATGGGTTTGACTGTCGGTCCAGCCTCCGCTACTGACCAGCCCTGAGCCTCGAGCTGTGTCACTGGGCCAATGTTGATAATTGTACCTGACTTGTCCAGGATGAGGAGGAATAAAATGAAGTGAGATTTGTAAAATGTCTTCATAGGGTCCACAAGCTGTCTTCTTAATTACTCATTAAGTGACGGAAGTCCTTCACCCCGCGTCTGCCTCATGGGAGTACTCAATAAAGGACACGCCTGCCCCAGGGCGGGCCTGTACCCAGAGTTCCCAGGATCTCTGGACCAGGGTCTTGGGCCACCTCACAACCCCTCAAGGAGCTGGGCCCTGAAGGGGACTCCGTCTGCACCCCCTCCTGCCAGCATTCCCTCCATGCCTGTCATTCCCAGTCTAGTCCAAGCAATTCTTTGGCTGCTAGCGCCCCCTCGACAGCCGAGGCTGAGCACTGGCACTGCCCCTTCCCCTGGCACAGGGGGGAGGGTGTCTCGGTGTCATCTGTTTCCCTTGCTGAGCTGGCATTCTTGCACAGCCTATGGGTCACATCGCCCCTGCTACCTGCCCTTCCTCCCACACAGGGGTGCCAGATGGGAGGTCCCTCACGGGGCTCCTGCAGCACCTGTGCCTAAGTGAGCTCACCTGGGTGTCGGGAAGCATCTCTCGTTGCTGGGATGTAGCCATTGCACACAGTCCTGGGCGCAGGGTCGTGGAACTGGAAATTAAGGGTGTTGGAGCCACCATTCCGGATCACAGGCACCTGTGGGGAGGGCCAAGAGCAGCAGCTCAGAGCCCAGAAGGTCCCACAGAGGAGGAGGAGGGGTGGCTGCCAGGGCACCACCCGCCTCCACAGTGAGGGTCTGTGGGACACTTGACCTTTCTGTGGGGAGCTCTCTTCTGACCCTCTTCCCTCCCTCTTGTCCCTCCAACCTTCGGCTCCCCCACTGAGGACATGTGCCCCCCCCCCAGTGCTGGGACTACAGGGGTGCACCACCACGCCCGACTATCATCCAGTCTGTTTAGAATGGAGGGTCTTCCCTGACAGCCCCAGTGCCCCCCCCAACAGGCCCACTGTGTGCCCTCTTCCTCCCTGCCTCACTCACCCGTGTCCCCCGGGGGGATGAGCCTACGTGGGCCCGGAGGTGGCTTGGGATGAAGTCATCCAGGCTGAGCCCAGCAGGAAGGTTGCAGGGCAGACCTTGCATGCTTGGGTCAGGGTTGGAGGATGCCGGGTGTGCCAGCTGCTCCTGTGCGTGTCCTCTGTGGGGAAGGAGGAAGGAAGGGAAAGCCCTGCTGGGCTGCAGTGCCCGCGTCCCCTTGGCTCTCGACCCTGGGGTGGAGGAGGAGGGCCTGGCTGTGGCAGGGGGTTGGAGCCAGCTGGGTGGGAGCTCAAGGACCCAGGAAACAGGCCACTCTGGGTGCTCGCCTGCAGGCTGCCCGTGCAGACTCCCAGAGGCACAATGGGCCGCTTGTTAGGCTGGGGCAGGAGCTCCGGGTGGGAGTGGGGGAGGGGGAGGCCTGGGCCAGGAGGAGGGGAGGGAAGGTTGGCCAGCAGCAGGCCCGCAGGCCCGCTGGCCAGGCCCTCAGGGCTGCCCCGCCGGCGGTGCAGGCTGCAGCCCCAGAGGGGAGGCACTGGGAACTGGGACAGCTGGCAGCGAGGGGCCCGGGCAGCACGACTGTTTCAGTTCCTCTGCCTCCCCCAGGCTCGCGTAGCGTGTGCTGCCCGCAGGCACGAGGGGTTCCGCAAGGCTGGCCAACAGCAAGGCCATCAGCCCACAGCCCTGGCCAGCAGCCGGCAGCACCCTGATTCCTAGCAGCGCCCAGGAGAGCGTAGGGGGCACTGCCAGGCAGCGGGAGCCACTCAGAGGAAGGGAGTTTCATTCGGCCTCCTTTGAAGACTGGAGACTCAGCTCAGGAAGCCAGCTTGGGGTGGGAGGGAGAGAGAAGCATCAGTAGAGCAAAGGCAGATGAGTCCTACTCCTAGAGGGGTGGTGCCGAGCGCCTTCAGGTGCACTCCTGTACACGTGCATCTACACTTGCACACATGTGCGCACACACACTTTACCCTGCACCTCTAGGCTCTTTTCTTTGTTTGCTTTTTTGACACAGGGTCCTGCTATATATGTCAGACTGGCCTTAAACTCACTATGTAGCCCAGGCTGGCCTCAAACTCCCAGGGATTCTCCTGCCTCAGCCTCCCCAGTGCTGGGACTACAGGGGTGCACCACCACGCCCGACTATCATCCAGTCTGTTTAGAATGGAGGGTCTTCCCTGACAGCCCCATACCTGACTCCCCAGCAGGTTCCTTTCTATGAGGTAAAGGGGAGGAAGTACCCAGGAGTTGGAGGGCTGCAAGAGGAGAGTCTGGGTGCAAGAGGACAAAGGGGGCTCCTGGGTTGGGTTGTCTGAGGGGACTTTTGCACCCAGACAGCTGTGGTGCACAGCACCACCTCCTTGCCTCTGCTGCTGCATGGGGCCAGAAGTGGGGCCAACCTGCACCACCTCTGGACTGGACCAGATCAAACTCACCCATGCTAGTGGGGGCTGTGGGTCTCCACGAGGACAACAAATGCTGGGGTGCCCTGTCACGCCTGGTGAAGTGAATACACATGCAGCATTGTCAACAGCTCCTGGGTACCATGGGGGACCACGTGGGCAGCCTGGGTGGGGAGATGGGTGCCTAGGGATAGTAGGTGCAGGCAGCCGCATGGGGGGAGTGGAGATGAAGGTACAGAGGGGGCTGAGAGTCCTCTTCTTCCAGACCCCGTTCCTGCTCAGGCCTTGGGGGACTGGCAAGGGTACAGGGAAGGCTGGGGGTGGTACCCTGTCTCTGGTCTGACATTATGGGCATCATGTGGACATCTGAGCAGTCTACTGGGGCTGCAGCTTTTCCACATCAAACCCTAACAGGGGGAGCAAAGGAGTGAGGCAGGAGGAGGGGCAGCTCAGCAGCTGGATCTAATTAGGGTTCTTACCAAAAGCAAAACATGCAGACACACCCCAGTTCCCACGCAGGGCCTGCCCTCGGAGGGAAAGTGAGGCAGGGCAGAGTGGAAGATGGCGGTGTGGGGCACAAGCTCCCAGCAGCCACCCCCCCCTGCCCTGATGACTGACTGCTCAGGACCAAGTTGCAGGCTCAGCACCAGTAATCCTAACTATCAGCTGACCCGGCCTTCCTCCCTGAGTGTTCAGGCCCCACCCTCCACCCTCGGGGAGAAGTGCCCTCTTGCAGGATGGGCAGGACAAGAGGAGGTCCCCAGCACCACCACCACCACCTATTTTCAGGGGCTACTGACCCTCGGGTCCCCGATCTGCTCATGTCCCCGATCTGAAGCATTCCCTGGGAACATGCAGGGGTCAGATGGGAAGGGGGTCTCAGTTTTTCTCTTGGCAGGGATATTAGGGAGGGAGGCTGCCAAGCTCTGCCAAGAGACATTAGGAAGTCTCTAGGGGAGGTGGAAGCATCCTGGGGAACTATTCCCTGCCTCGCAAAAGACAAGGGGTATCAGACTGCTCTGGAGCCCTCCCAGAATTCAAGCAACCCCCCCTACCCCCGCAGCCACCTCCAAACCGCTGGAAGAGGCCAAGTAGCTCCGCTGTGGATGACACACACCCCCCACCTCTGGGCACCAGCCTGACCTTGGGACTTGGCCTTTGGCTTTCCCAGCTATTTTTCAGCTACCAGCATACAGGGACAGGGACTTGCTTCCTCCAGGTTTGCCTTCTCTGGATGGAGAGGGGAGGAACTTCTCACAACTCATGCTGCTGTTTGGGACTGGGACCCTGGGGAGCGACTCCGTGCCCTCCTTTGGGCCCAGTCCCTCCCGGGACAATAGCATCAGTCCTCCCCGCCCCTCGCCTCCCGCACCTACCTTCTGCGGCGACCAGGTGGTGGGGCTCGCGGCCGCCGGGGGGCTCAGGAGCATCCCGGTAGGGATCCTGCCTGGAGCGGCCGCGCGCGTTGGAAGCCGGAGGGCAGGGAGGCGCGCGGGCCGGCGCGGCCTCGTGACCGGGTCAGGACGCCCGGCCAGGAGGGGCGCGAGAGGAGGAAGAGGGAGGCCCAGGGGGTGCGCACGGAGGCCGGGCAGAGAGCGTCGCGCGGCGGGCGGAGTTTGGGGTCCGGATCAGGACTGTGGGCCGGGCCGGGCGGGGGTAGTGGAGGGGCGGCTGCAGCCTCCCTCCCTCCTGCGGGGCGTGCGAGTGCCCTCCGTCGGGGCGCGCCGCGGGGACGCTGGTGGCCCATTGCCGAAGGGGCCGGCCTGGCCAGGAGGCGGCGCCGGGAGGGGCCGCAGAGGGTCCCCGGGGAGCTCGCTCGGGTTCCCAGCTGCCTTCCCCGGCCCCCACCGTAGGGCTGGCGTCGGGAAGGGGGCGGGCGGGCCGGCGAGGGCCACTCAGAGTTTCCAGCGACATTTCCAGGGTGTGGGAAGCGAGCTGCTGCGCGGCGGAGCCGGGACAGGGGGCAGGATGATTAACAAGAACGGGCCTTGAGTTCCAGATACGGCGCTGGCAGCCCGGGAGAAGCAGACAGGGTGGAACCGAGATAAGGGCGCCCTGCAGGCGGAAGGTCTCGCCGCCTCCCCTTTCCCGTGCTCCCGGAGAGGTTGTGCGCGAACCAGCACCGGCTGGGTGTGTGCAAGCAAACGCACGTGCGCGTGCGCTGGCGAAGAGCAGATGCTCACACACGTGCAAGCACGGGGAGGAAATCGGTCCAAGGCAGCGGTTCCCTGAGCGCGCCGCGCCCCTAAAGAGGATGAGGGTGGGGTCCCACGGGCGGGGAGGAGGTTAGAGGGTCCCGGCGTTCCCAGACACGGTATTTGTTTGATCTCCCGGCTTTTCCGCTGTTCCCGAGGTTCTGACGTGAGCCCTAAGGCCGCGCCCACTGGCTCCCCCATTCACTCTGCCCGCTTCCCAGCCCCGGTGTGGCACAGGTGTGGCACAGGGCCTGTTAAAGAAGCCGGCGCTTGATGAATACTTATTGACAGCGGACACAGACTCCAGAGTAGTTCTAACTCTGGACTTTCTTCTGGGCTCCCTGTGCCCCAAGAAACCAACTACAAGTAGTTACTGATCATCTTAAGTGCTGGAAGTTATTGGGATACATTATGGAAATAATGACTATTTACTGGATACCTACTGGGTATCCCAGTGGTGCCTGGGGTCACCGTGCAATTTAGAGTGCCATTTAATCGTACCATTCAGTTCAAAGTTGGGAAGAAAGAGAATGGAAAAAAAAAGATGAAGCAGTGCTGGATCCCTGCCTCCCTCACTGCTGTCCACTTATCTCCCCGCAGCTGGCTGTGTGGGAGCAAGCCCACAGAGAGGAGGGGCTGGAGACAGGCATGCCAGGGGCTCCCAGTGTTTGCCCGTTGCCCGTGGAAACAGGCTGCGCTGGCAGAGGGGGTCATTGGGAAGCGCTTCTAGGCTTCCAAGGAAGATTTGTGAAATGATGACTGGACTCCAAGCCTGCCGACTGTGAGGGAATTCTACAAAGGCAACTATTGCACGGAGCAGGGCAGACTTACAGGCTTCTATTATTCTCTAGAGCTCTGACCTGGACTCCAAGATAAATATTTAATGAGACAACAAACGTTTCAGATCCCCTCTGCCTCTGCAGAGAAGCTGAAAGGATGGGGCCAGGGTGGGCAGCCGGTGCCCACAGAGGGCCGGCGGCTGCCGAGTGGAACAGCTCAGGGATATTCCTCGCTGCTCCCTTGAAGCGCGGGGCTATTCACTCACCCTTGGTACCAGCCTCTTCCCACCAGTAAGTACCCATTTCCCTAGTCCCAAGTTTTCCCACCTGTCAGGGTCCTTGGCACTAAGAAGGGCCTCATCACTTTCATGCTCTTCTTTGTTCTCCAAAGACGGTGAGGCTGAAGATCTTCCAACTCCAGGAATCCTGGTCATACCCCTCACCAGCGTGCACTTCTCTTATTCTCTAGGGCTCTGACCTAGACTCCAAGATAAATATTTAATGTGGAGGGTGCTGCTGAGCTGCCACAGGCCCCAACTTCCTGATTCTCACAGAGGGAGGTGGCAGCCATGGGCAAGGATCTGGGGCCTGGCCACCAGCTCCATCTCTATGGGGACGGGGAGCTCAGTAAACAGCTTTGGAGGAGGGAGGCGGCGGCCTGTGGGAGGCCCTGCAGGAGACTGCAGCCTTTTCCTCCACTGCTTCGGCTCTGCAGTCCACGGAGGCCTGGCCCCGCTGCTTCGTCTCTCTCGGGTCCCAACCCACCGTGTCCGTGGTGGCCAGCTGGCCTTGTGGCTGGCAGGATGGAAGATGGCTGAGACCAGAGGGTGGGGGAAACCTAAGGAAACCTGACCCATTCCTCCTGTTCAGCCCTGATTTAGGGAGAAAGCCTCCTCTTTGAAAAGCAGCTTAGGTGGGTGGAGGGAGCCAGGTTCAGAGATTGGGCCAAGACCCAGGTGTCTGATTTCCAACTCCTCCCCTGAGCCTCAGCTCTGCCCTGGCCGGCCTCCCCAGCTGGCGTGGCTTCTGGGGCACGGCTGGACAGACAGACTGGATGGTCTGGGTCAACCTGGAGCAGATTCCTTCCAGGCCTGAGCTCTGTCCCATCTCCTGCCCACTGTCTTATCTCAGAGGGAGCTTGTTCCCTGCAAGTGTGCCACTTGACCACCTCTGGCCCCGCCTATGGTCAGAGGCTGCCTCGGCCTCCTCAGCCACCTGAGCCATAGTAAACACAGTTATGTAACTGCTCTTTTCCTAGCTATCTGATTCCAGTCACCAGGGTCCCCGCCCCTGGCTGAGGCTGCCAACTTTTGTTCGGTGAATACCCCACCCAGAACTCCTGTCCTCAGTCACCACCCCAGGGCATGATTAGCTACCCATAAGTGTTGGGGTTCCTCACACTGAGAGGCAGAAGAGGGCAAAAAGCACCCTCTGTCACCAGAAGAAAGGATGAGTGAAAAGAAAGAGCTCTCAAGCTGCTTTTTCCTTGCTCAGGTAGGCCCTGAATTCACTATGTGACCCAGGCTGGCCTGGAACTCAAGGCGATCCTCCTGCCTCAGCATGCTCCGCTACACTCGGCAACTCCTATTTCTTGAGTGTTTTTCTCTAGTGTTGGGACTCTACCGTTTGCATCAGCCACACTCTGAGATCCCCCCATGTCCACCCTGGTCCAGTCCCCAGGTTAGATAGAGGAAGGGCATCTGCTGTCCCTTTTCTCATAGTTCTGGTACATGCTCCAGAAGGTTCCTGGTTTTTGTGTATTAGGAAGTGTTTTCTCCTTGCAGACCAGGAAGGGTTAGCGAAGAGAGTCCAGCAGTTTGGACTTCTATAGTGGGAAGGCCACAGCGCACGGCAGTGAGGAGCCCAAACCAAGTCGCCTCAGACACGCCAGTGTGGATCTGGACTCCGTTTCATCCCCTGGGCCCCATCCTCTCTCCTGGGTCCTCTCCTGATTCCAGCTCCTGCGGTCTGCCAGCCAAGCTCCACTGACGGCCCTTTCTGTGCCAGCCACTCATGGGACAGGGGCAGGCGAGGGAGGAAAGTGCAGGTGACCCACTTTGGGGCTTCAAAGGTCCTCCTATGCCGACAATGGTATGACCTGGCCCATCTGGAATCCACATTCGCTTTTTTTGGCATAGCCCCTGCAAATGAGGGATCTCTGTGAGGGGTCAGTGCTGGGGCCAGCAGCCAGGATGGGGGCGTGGACCCCGTGGGAGTGGAGACTTCAGGTCTGCCTTGCACAAAGCTTTGCATAGCACACACATGATGCCACAGGCTTCTATTCAGGGCTCTCAGTCACTCACATCCAATCCCCAAGGGCTGTCAAAGAGCTCACGCTTTTTGCCCAGTTTTCCCAGTCTGTCCCCCAGAAAGCTGTGACCTGGCCATCTCAACTATGACTGTTCTTTCCTTTTTATGGATCAGCAAGTGAACACAATGTGCAGATGGGGTGTCTTTGAGATGATCTGAGCAGATGAATCTCAGATCTCAGGAAAAAAGAAAAGACCAAGTGGCTGTCAGCTCTTTAGAAAGTAGATTTTATAAGGGAAGGGTAAGTACACGATGATCTCAGAGGGGAAACCAAGCCAAGTCAACTCAGCCACAGAGAAGGGCACAGAACCAGGAGCTGGAAAATTAGGTCTGCCTTGGCCTTCCTTCCCTGCTCAGGTAAACTGAGATAAGGAAGGAAAAAGTGCTGATTGGCTGGCCTGTGGACACCACGAGGCAGTGCTCTGGCTTCTGAACAAAGGATAACCTGTCTTCCTGCTTCCTTGAATTCTGTGATGAAACTCCTCCACTGCATCAACATTGAAAAAGCCTTAATTTAGCAGTAAATTACAAATCCCCTGTATCAACAAGTAGACTTTTTGCAAGTTGATTCTTTTAACAAAACCAAAAGAACAAAAATGCAAGGCCATGGAATTACCTGTAGCAGCCAACAAGTGGGGACTAGATCTAGCGACAGGTCAACATGAATTTTCATATCAGCCTTTCATTCCAAGGCTCTTACAAAAGCTCCACAACTCTGTAAATAAGGGCAAGTATTACTTCATTTTACTGGGATTTTAGCTAAGGGAAAGGACACTGCTAACCCAGGACACCATGAGATAACAGAACCCACCATGCACACTCAGCTTTTGCAAAATTAGAAATCTGGGCTTTTTTTCTGGCCTGTCAAACACACTGTGGTCCCTTAATATGGATGTATTTGATGTCAAAATTTGCAGTTTGGGCCTGGCAGTGCTGATTGGGCCCTTCTACCTCAACACCAGGACCAGCAGTGTTCCCTGTCTTCACCTCCACTTGCCCAGAGGAGCTGATTTGTCCCCACGAATCCACAGCACCTCAAAGTATTCCCGCTTTGTCCAGGAAGCAAAAGGCTGGTCTGGCACTTCCTGTCCTCAATAGTTCAACTCTACTTCAACTCCTCTCTGGCTTCTTTGACTCCTTCCACATTGGAATTCGGCCATATCTATTGTTAGGATCACATATAGAGTTATTAAATTACCGTAATAAAAACCTATTTTTATCCTTTGTAAAGACTGTGTGTTCTGGGATATCTTCCTTTTCTTCATGTAGTGGCCTCTGCTGGAAAAGCTACAGGAGTGGGGGCTTCTGAAGGAGACGGTAGGCAAAATGCCAGCAAGGAGGCCAGAGTCAAGGGAGCAGTAAGATTTTGAGTTGGGAAAAAACCAACATGGAAGTAGCTGCCAGAAAGCTTTAACTGAAGGGCTGGGAGAGTGAAGGCAAGAGGTCCTTCTTACTGTGAGGGGATTCCTCCTTCTGGAGGGGAATTCCTTGATACTGTCAGAGACCAGGCCAGACCAAACACCGAAAGCCAGGCTTTCCCTTGACTCCTAGAATTATTAAATGGGTAAGAACCAAGTATCAGTGCCTCAACCAGGAAATAAAGACACAGGGAGCCAATAAATTACTCAGTTTAAGGGTCTTTTTTTCCTTCTTTTTATCTTAAAGATGACTTCCAATTTACAGTAACGAAGTTCTAACAAAGTAATTTCTTGTTCACAAAAAAGATTTAATAAATGACTTCTGCCAATAAGTAACATTCCCATTTCTTTAACATCACTGAAAGAAAAAGTAGGCACCCTCTAAATCCAAGCAAAACAATCCATCATTCAGAAGAATCTTTAGAAGAACAATACCAATTAGCCCCACAGCTAGCCCACCACATGTAAGAAGCAAAAGCAGGAACTTTTCTTGGAAAATGTGTGCTGACATTTCTATTTTTAAAAAGTAGCTATTGGTTACCATACACGGAGAAAGGGAAAATGTGTTTCCAATGGCATCTTCAGGAAGATACTGTGACAGACAACACAATTTTACTGCCCAAATCAAAATCCATAGTTCCCTCTTCCTTACTACATGCACTTGACTTTAACATGCAAAAGTAAAACACAAACTTACAAAGGTCTTTGGAGAGAACTGTGACGAGGGGGAACCCTGGGCCAGAACTTACAGAGGCAGTGTGCACAGCCCTACTTCACAGCTGCACCAAAGGATGGGCCATGTCCATGTCCTTTCATCTGGATCTGAAGCCACCTAGACTTGTCGTGAGGGCGCTGAGGAGGAGAAGACGCATAACCCTATCTCAAACAAAGGTGTTACTTAGCAAGGCCGGCCACAGTTGTGGGGCATGAGGCCAAGGCTTCCCAGGAGGGAATATACTCTCCAGTATCATCTTCACCTTTGTGACTGCATAGATGAAGGCAGTTAACACTGACCCCATTCACTCTAGCTGGCCAGACAGAGGCAGGGCAGGTCCCAAGTCCTGGTATAATGTTGGGTCATCCCTCTCCCGCACTGTCAATGGCACAAAGTCCTATTGTTAATACAGTTCGCTGCTGGCCCTTCAGGTAACAGTAACACCTCTGTCCTTCAGCTATACAACTTTCTTCCTCTACACACATCTGCTCTTTCTTATGGCCTTCCTATGAGTGTCTGATCACAGCAGGCTGAAAAGGGAATGGGGCAATATCATACTTTAGAAGTGTCCTCCATGTAACCTAGACCCTTGTCAATCTTTTGCTGGGCCCTTTCTAGGCTGCCCTTTATTCCCGGTCTAGCAGATTTCAGAAAAGATGTGCACTGGGTGCCAGACAAGGTAGAACCCACAGTTATAACCCCAAATAATTTAGGAAGCTGGAGCTCATACCCACAACTGGAGCTCTGGGTTCTCTCCCCCTCTGGTATCTGCCTGGGTAGGAAAAGCCAAATAATGGATTGGGGGGGGGGTACCAGGAAGTAAACTCAAGGACCTCGTGCTTGCCAGGCAGATGCTGCACTGCTGAGGTATATCCCTGGCCCCCTGAATAAAGTTTTTAAAGAAAGTGAGGTTCTATTATTACCATAACAACTACAATAAATATTGGAGATTCTAGAATGCTATCTCAACAAGTCTTTATGGATTAGTGTATTACTTTCTCATCATCAGGTCAAAATACCTGACACTTGCAACTTAAAGAGGTCTATTTAGTTCATAGCTTTAGAGGGTTCAGTCCATGGTCAGCTGCTCCATGGCAGAAATGGCATGGCAGGGGGCCTGGTGGAAGGAAGCTGCTCAACCCATAGCAGCCAACAAACAGAGCAGGAAGAGTCAGACACAGAGATACATCTCCTAAAGGCACGCCTCCAGTGACATACCTCCTCCAACTGGCTCCACCATATAGCACATTCATCTATGAACTCATCAGTGGATTAATACAGTGATGAATATACTGTCTTCATGATTCTATCACTCCAAAAGCCCCACTTCTGAAAGGTGAGTGTTTTGGAGGATATTTTAGATATAAACCATAACATCAGAAAATAATTTCAATACAAAGACTGCAAAGAAAAATTTGACAATATAAAATGAAACCATGAAATCAATGTGGGGGCATTCTCTTCCGAAACCAGTTTAACCAATCACCTAGACTGGTTAGGATGAACTTAACTCTGAAGAGCTTGACTTTTATATTAAGGGATATGGTACAGTCAAAAGCTCTAGATTTTTTTTTCTTGTCTTTTTGAGACAGGGTGGCCTCAAACTTGCAATGATCCTCCCATCTTAGCCTCCCGAGTGCTAAGATTACAGGCATGCGCCACCACACCCAGCAAAACCTCTTGAGATCAGCTACAACATCTATGTAATATAAGAGAAGGTAGATGGCCCAGATTTTCACCTTCTTCATTCTGAAAGGCTGGAGGCTCCTGAGCAATGACCATGACAACAAGCCCACCTGCATCTTACATGGTTACAATGGTTTTCTTATTAGAAACTAGCTGCCTCAAACTTCGCATTTTATTTATTCATTTTTAGTACAGGGAATCAAACTCAGGACCTTGTGCTTGCCAGGCAGGTGCTGTGCCACTGAGCTGTATCCCCAGCTTTGTATTTTAAAACCACTCAGAAGAGGATCTAATGGCCAATGCCAAAGCTGAAACTCCCCAAAGTGACCCAGTTTTTCAGAAATCCCACCCTTGCTTCTTAATAATATTAAATATGTATTTGAGTAACCAAAGAAGGATTTTTTTCCCCCTATTTTAAATACTGTCAGGGAATCATCCTTAAGTTATCAAGATAAGAAAATAAATCTTTGCTATCCAGAGAAATTTGCTTCAATGAATGGCAACTGTTCATGTAAGTACAGAAAAGGGAAAGAAATCCAGATGAAGGAATATGAAAAGCCAGGTGTGGTGTGGTGGTGCATGCCTGTAATCCCAGCACTCGGGAGGCTGAGGCAGGAAGATTGCTGTGAGTTTGAGACCAGCCTGGGCTACAAAGTGAGTTCAAGGCCAGCCTGAACTGCATAATAAGACTCTATCTCAGAAAGACAAAAAAAAAAAAAGGATATGAAAAATACTGATATTCCCAGATAGTCAGACTCTTCTATTCCTCAGCAAGGAGAGTTCAGGGTGTGATCAAGCCCATCAGAGTGTGATAAGCAATTTTCACTTTTCTGGTCAAAATCTAGTCACAGAAGTCCAGCAAATCAGCAATGTTTCTACCCATAAGCCAAGTGTCGACCTGAGACTGTGAAGAAAACTGAAGCTAGCTTCGTGGTATTCTATTAAACGCGCACGCACACAGGTGTATTGCTTTGTCTTTGTGCTAAATATTCAAAACACAGAGACTTAAAAGGGGTGTTTTGAACTACTGTGGGATGAGATTTACAGTTTTATTTTAAAAAGTCATCCAACCTTTTCTTAATAATTTTTCATGATGTGCACGTGACCAAAGTTGAGACACCTGTCCATGTGGAGCATCATTTCAAAATGGCACTGCAGGAAAGCACACAAAGGTGTCCTCAGACATGCTTCATGTCAGAAGTGGTTGTCTTGTTTTCCTAAATGGGAGAAGTTTCAGAAAAAAGAAGGTCCACGGACCTTAATGAGAAGGAGAACAAGAGGAAATAATTTTAGTATCTTTAGAACACAGGAAAGATTTAATAAAACAGAAGAGGATTTGAAAACGCCAAGAGTGCATTGCTTTGACCGCAGTTAAAATGTTTATTCATAATGATGGCTCTCAGCAGAAACAGCAGTCTGAGGGCAAACCAGGGTAGGCATCTAGCCACCTTGGAAGCTGTTGTTTAAATTCAAACATTCTGAAATACGTTAAAAGCCTTCAGTGAAACCTAAAGTGCAGAAACAAGACTGTTATGACAACCTCTTTTCTTTTTCTTTTTTGGAGACAGTCACACTAGGTAGTTCAGTCTTGCTTTGAACTCACTATGTAGCCCAGGCTGACCTCACACTCTCAGTGATCATCCTGCCTTAGCTTCCCCAGTGCTGAGATTATAGGCATACACCACCACATCCAGCATTACGACATATTTCTAAGGCTTATGCCCTCGAAAGTGTTTTGAGTGACAGATACAAATGTGTATGTGGGGACTATATGCCAATGGGAAGCTTCACTTTAAAAAAATCTCATGCATTCATTTTTGCAGTGCTGGGGTTAGATCCTATGGGTACCCACATGCCAGGCAAGTGGCTGACCACTAAGCTATACCCCCAGCCAAGAGCCCTGCTTTCAGACACATGTATGGATGCATTTACCACACAGCTTTCTAAAATGACAGAACACACACCCAGCTTTCCACAGCAGCATCTTTTAGAATTAAGAATTTCCAACTCCAGCTCTCTTTAGAGCAGTGGTGTTCTGTCTTAAACTTGCTCATGTTTTCTTGAAGAAGCTCTTCTCACCTTTCTACCCTGCTGACTTTCCACAGCTCTGAAGGCACCCACAGAACACCCCTCTATGAAGTGCCTATCAAGGGAGAAGAAAATTACATTCCTCAATAAATGTCCTTTTTCACTAGAAAAATGTTTTTTCATCATAAGGATTTGCAACTATTTCATCACTGCCAGCAGATGGAGACCCTTGAGTGTTTCCATATATGGACTGTGGGTGTGTGTGTGCGCGTGCGCGCGCGCACGTGTTGTAAGTAACAATATACAATGAAAAGGAGAAAGTGCTAAGGACTCCCAACTCCATAATCTGTCACATGGACTGACATTCGTAGGTGAGATTTCCAAAGACAGAATTTTTACATCACTGAGGCTGGGGGAAAGGACAGTGAGGATGTCCAGGTGGTGAACTTCTCTCTCGATAGGGGGAAAGAGCCATTTTCTCCCTTCTCTCCTAGGCTTTACTTAGAATCCAGTAGATCTTTTATCACCTCCCCTAATACCATTTCTCTCTCTCTTTTTTTTTTTTTTTTTTTGAGACAAGGTCTCACTGTGCAGTCCAGCTTGACCTTGAACTCACTATATAGTCTAGGCTGGCCTCAAACTCACAGCAATCCTCCTGCCTCAGCCTCCCAAGTAGTGCTATCACAGAGCAATCCATGCAGGCAGAGTTCAATCCCCAAGAGTGCTTTGGTCTCTGTCAGAAACAATCTGGGAACTGTTAGCAAAAATATGTAGACAGAGGGGCTAAGTCTTCATTCTTCTAATGAAATTATAGTTTTTGGGAAAACATAGATTGTTTTCTGGGGTTTTTTGGTTTTCTTGAAGCTCCAAACACGAAGTACTGCTGTCTGAGATACCTGTTTCAATGCTGGACTCTCGAATCCAAGTGGCAGTCAGGAATTCCATGCACTTACTTTTTCCATTCTTTTTATATAGCATACATAGACACACGCCCTCATTACAGAGCCAACCAGTGGGCACCATGACCTGGTGCCTGTGTTCAGACTAAGCCAGTAACAGGATCCTGAGGGTCCCCAGAATTTCCTTCACTAGGTTGTGACATGAAAAACAAACTAATGGAAGATATTTCAAACACAGTATCTGCACTCTTTTATTTTTGTACCCCACAATACGCTAACGCAAGTCGGCACAGCTCAACCTAATGAGTGTGAAAGACGGACGCACACTCCAGTAATGGGAAGACAGAACTTCGAACAGATCCAGAAGACAGGAAACCCAATGCCCTCTAGGCAGGCTCAGTTTATGAGGGGATTATCCTACCTTCACTGGCTCCTTTTAGAAATACCGACACTGAAATAGACGCATGGCTGATGCAGTGGAACTGGACAGCATAAATGCTTCTGGCTGTTAAAGGTTTGCTGAGGACGTTTATAAAATATTTAGATAATGGCAACAGTTAAAGCTTTCTGAAATCTTTCTCTCCCAATTTCTGAGGGAAGTTTAAACCAATCATGCCTGTAGCTGTTAGATGGATGATTTTTTATTTTCAGTGCTGGGGATGGAAGCCAGGGCAAGCTCTCTCTCTACTGCTGAGCTATGCCCCCAGCCTTAGGTGGATATATTGCAAGTAACTCCAAGAAAACCCACCATCATTTTTATTTTGCTTTACTAGAACATGTTAAAGGGATCTGAGAGTCCCGAAGGATAGGCTATTACGAAAAACATTCTCCTTGGCCCTGAAATCATTGGGTTATTTACTTGGAAGCTCTAATCTAAGCAAGTTTTCATCAGAACAGAAGCAATTTTAGCCACTGAAATCTAAGAGACCTTTTCTCAATGGCACCCAGCAGAAAGAAAAAAAACCTCTTCAGTTTGAAAAGTTATTAGTCTTAAATAAATGCTATTACCTTCATAAAGCAACATAATATTACCTTCATAAAGCAACATAAAGGCTAACTAGTTCAAGTCAGAATCCCAGGGCTGAGGTTTCCAAGGCCCTTTTATTAGGGGAAAGTCCCCTTGATAGCACAAACTTCACATATGTATTGATAACAATCAGATTTTCTCCTAAAAATTAGGGGGATAAAAGGGTAAAACAAAACATGTGCTTTTTGTATATATTGAACACAAATTTAAAGAATTTATAAAACATTTGCCTTTCTTACAGAATAAATCCAGACTAAATTATGAATGCACCTCCAGGTTTGTTTTTGTTTCATTTTATGATAATAAATAAAATTTGTTCTTAGGCTGGGGATCCACCTGTACCCCAGCACGACTGAGACATCACTGAGCTTTCTTCCCATGGTCGCTCCTGTGGGCAGCATTGGAGTGAACTGGGGTCACCAGTTTTGCTGGCCCGTCGCGTCCACTGTCCTTTCGAGGTGGCATCCGCTCATTAATTCGGTCCAGCCCTCGGGCTTCTTCAAAACTCCGGATCTTGTGCTGCAGCGAAAACCCATGGATGGCTAGAGAGAAACAGGAGAGCAGGTGGGGAGTGCTCAGTTAGGCATAAGGCAGCAGCTCAGCAAAGCCAACATATAGAACCTCCCAGAGAAAACACAGAAAGGCCACCACAGAGCACATATCCGGGGAGAGAACAGGCAATATATAACCCCATCAGCCTCATGTAAGACTACTGCTTCCACCGAGGGAAGGGGCAGCTGAAACTGAAATTTTCATAAAACCTCAATCACGGCAGAAATATGCCTGACAAAAAGCTACAAGCTCTTACTTAGCCCCAGTTGGAGAAAGAATGGACCAGAAATGTGCTCAATGCTAGAAAAAAGGGCAACACTACCATAACAGAACACATTAAACAGTTAAACTGAGTAGTTGCTTTGTTTTTTAAGTACTGGGGACTGAGCCCAGGGCCTTCGCTCTGAGCTACATCTCCAGCCAATTTCTTTTCTTTTTTTTTTTAATTTGGAGACAGGGGTCTCATTAAATTATTCAGTTTCCCAGACTAGGCTTAAGTCTGGGATGCCCTTGACTCAGCCTCCCAGGGTACTAGGATTACAGGCATGTACTACCATGCCAGGCTCAGAGCTGTTGCCTTAAGCACAGACATTATTACACTGACCACAAAAGAAGAAATAAAATGGCTTTTTAAGACAGCTTTTTATCTTGCACAACCAGTAGCTGAACATAATATAAAAACCATCAACATAGCTTCTAAATATTTTCCCTCTGATTCAACTTAGACTGAACTTAAGACTGTCAAAAAAAAAAGGCACTCCCATTTTCAACTATCTTACCTAGTAAATTTATTACACAGGTTTATCAGTTCCAATAGTTTTTAATCACAAACTTATAAATAGTGTTGTTTAAACTGTCTCCAGAGAAACAAGGATAATTTTGGCTAATTGTCTTAGGGCAACCTCAAAAATGAGACAAATGAAACTCTCGTCTATTTTTGTCTGCTCTTAATAATCTTAGTCATTAGACAGAGGATGCCCTGTCTGACCGTGGTCACAGGGATGTCCTTTGTATGTGGAAGAGATATGGGATTAAACCACTCCACATCACACCAGCAGTCGCTTAAGCTTCCATCACTATGTTCAGACTGACAGATCCCACCAAGGGCTTTAGCTGTAGTGAAGGTCATTTAAATGAATAAAGACACAGAATGTATGAACATGCCCAGGAATGTTTATCCCTTTTCCCACTGTTACAGTTCTGGTGATGCAATAACAAAAGATCAGAAACACTGATAAAGGCTTTTAAAACTAGCAGACAGACACAGGAGCACATCTATCCGGGGAATACAGCCATACCTTCCTGGGCCTCTACCGCTTCTACTGTGGCTGTAAGAGGGCAGGAGCAGTGGCATGCAAAATGAAGACAGAGAAGAGTGAGTAAGTCAGCAGCTCTGCTGCCAGCACTGACACCCAGGCCCTTCCTGCCCGCCTCCCCTGCCCACCAGGAAAGCCCCCTAGTGAGAGAAGCCAGAGATTACTGCAAGGAGCTAAGTAGCGTGGGGGAACACAAGGAGGGAAAGTTTCTCCTATTTTTAGCATTTAAGTGGCATTGGAACATTGCTCCCTTCATTTGAAATAGCCAAAGACTAGTTTATGTCTTTTTTGTTTTCTTTTTCTGAGACAGGATCTCGCTATATAGTTCAGGTTGGTCTTGAGCTCACTATGGAGCCCAAGCTGGCCTTGAACTCACAGCAATCCTCCTGCCTCAGGCTCCCAAGTACTGTGATTACAGGTGTGTGCTACCACACCCAGCTCTAGTTTATGTCTTAATACCACATACTGAATTACTTATACCAATTTTTTTTGTTCTAGAGAGTGAACCGGGGGGGGGGGGTGCTCTACTATTGAGCTATACCTTTAGGATACCCCCTCCCCATCCTTTCCTTAATTTTTTTTTTTTTTTTTCCAGGAATTTTTTTTTTAGTTTTTTTTTTTTTGTACCAGGAATTGAACTTGAGACCTTGCGCTAGCCAGGCAAGCACTGCACCGCTGAGCTATATCCCTGGCCCTCTTTCCTTAACTTTTGAGACAAGGTCTTGCTAAGTTGCTCAGGCTGGCCTTGAACTTGGAATCTTCCTGCCTTAGGCTCCTGAGTAGCTGGGGTTATAGGTGCACACTACTGCAAGTAATTCAACAATCAAGTTTCAATTTGTAATAGTTTTTTAAAAAATGTTTTTGTAATAGCTTTTTGGATGGTATTAATGAGCTACTGCTGGACCCTTTTGAAAAACTTATTTACTATTACAACTTACTGCTCTCAAACGACTTATGCGGGAGCCAACCATCCTTTTAATTATTTATTGAAAGACAGTAGCCTTTGAATAACTGGCATTTGGAAGAAGAAAAAATGCGTTACAAGTGAAGGGTTATTTCTTGTCTGGAGGTGGACTACTAAGCGGCAAAGGCACAGGACTCTTCAGTTCCATAGGAAATGCATGTGCCCACGTGGGGCAGGGACACGGCAAAGACTGACAGCAACAACCCACACGGCTTCCACTCAGGCCAGTGATGGAGAAAGCCCTCTTCTCCCTCCCTCAGTGATGAACATGGAAACCATTTAAAATTAGCAAAGAGAGACTTTCTTGCACCTTAGTTTTTCAGACAGCAAAAACCCCAACATACAAAAAGGTTATCGGCTGTAGCAAGAGTCTATCAGGAGAACCCCCGCATCCCTCCAACAGCCATGTTCTTCACGGCAGGAAGCGCCTGTAAGTGAACCCGTCAATTCCTCTAGCCTGAGTATTGTTAAAGATGACAGGGGAGGGTAACAGGGTAAGCAGCAAGTCTGCCCTTCTTGAGGCGTGATCCATCATTAGAAGAGAGATGGAAAGAACTATGGTGCTAACTTCCTAATGCAGTATCAAGGCACCTGCACTGGGCTCAATTTACCAGGTGCTTGCATTTGTCTACCACGCGTAGCAAGGTCTTAAAGCACTGCCTCAGCCCCTCTATTCCCCTTACAAAAACAAACTGCACACGGAAGCTCTAGTGCCTTCCACAGCACAGCACTGACATGAGTGCGGGCGAGCCACGCCTGGCCTGAAACTGCACTCAGAGTGCTGCTCCAGTTCAAGCTGGAACTCCATGTGGTC